CTGCCACCGAAGGCATGGACACCGTCATCTGGACACGGCGGGGACGTCTCGAGGGGCGATTTGGGGCAGCTTGGCGTGTGGAACTCGACAGGTGACATGCGCGCCGGGTGGTCATGGCTGACACATACCTGCGTGAGAAAGAGTTAAAGGATGTTGTTAAAGCCATAATATGTATAAAGTGTTGGATTTTTATTGATAGTTCATTTCTTTTATATAAGCAAACCTATACATAAGCACTAAGATGTTTAAATTACACAGGTTATTCTTTAGCCTTTTTGGAAGGCTGGATTGAAGAGAGGTCTATTCCTCTATTCAGTTTTATTACCAGGTAAGCTCATTGAAGGAAAGATTAGAAAAAGATCCTCAGTGGAGTATTTTGCTCATTCTATGTGTCTTCTTTAATATTATTGGTTTCCTTCTCTTGGTCTGTTTTTAAATAGATCAATCAGGTAGTCATGATAGGTTTGGTCCAGATATACAATATTTCTTCCTTAATTCCCTGTTGGATGATGTTTGAAGCTCAACTGAGTTTCAAAACCAACAGTACCCAGGAAGAGGTCCAGGATTTTAGTACCAGGATGGCAATGGGAGCCTACAGTTCTTGCAGGGAAGGGGTGCTAACCTATTCAACATACAAGGCCTTAAAGCTAGGAATATTGCCAACTGCCTTATATTCGCAGAAGTTTATCTTTCACAAGCTGAAAGTATTTCATTTCATACCAAATTAATCTTTTGAGTAATAGCGTCATAAATTCATTTATTCTATCAGTTTTCAGAGAAGACAAGCCAGAGATAAGAGTGTAAAGTATCTTCATAGAAACCCATCAACTTTCCTCTCCTTCAGCATCTTAAGGTTCGTGATTTCAAATCTGCTTCACTAAACCCCACATCCCAGACATCAAGTCTTCTGTTCATTGCATTCATCAGGACAGAGAGCAAAGAATCTAATGATTTGGAAGACATTAATTAGGCTGGAAAGACAGATACATTTGTAGTTTTAGAGCTGGCCTGGATTTGACAATCACCATGAAGGAAGAATTGTATGAAACTTTCAGATATTTCAATTTTGCTGTATGTGGAGTTAAACCTCACCCTCTTTGATCCAATGCTTCTTTCCGTCAAGTGCCATGCCTGTAGGTAACATGAATTTAATCCTTAACTTACTAAGATAGCTACTGATGTTTCAACTTGAGGGTGGTGGACACAGCCTCAGCATAAACTGAGGAAAGTTGTCTCAGTTTAATTTGTAAATATCTGTTGCATTCATTGATTGGCTTCATGGCTGTTTGGCTAAAAGATCATTGCACAAGGTGAAAGAATTTACTGGTTCGGATACGTTTGTTTGGAATTTTCATCTGTGTGTGTTGTTGTGTGTTGTGTTGTTGTACGCATTTGTACAAAAACTAAAGCTGACACGAATTGAAGGATTCCAAATGTTTTTGAAAAATTGAGTACATGAAATGGTAAAAGCTAGCTCTGGGGTCAAAAGCACAGTTTGATCTCTTGACCGCCACCTTTGTTGGAAATGATACTAGTGGGCTTACTAGGTAATGGGAGTTTGTGTGCATTAATGCAGGTGACTTGGAGAGATCCCAGGTTACCCCCAACTCAAAGCAGGCCACTGTGTACCCCTAAGAGTTGCTGACCTTTGCTGTCCATACTCAGAAGCTCTTATCTTGTTTAATAATGAAATAAATGCTAAAGTTATAAAAAAGACCATGCAAATATCTATTTGTTAAATATGGCTTTTTGTTTAGTTAAGTTTAATAAGGAAAAGTAAATATGCTTTTCATGACTGAGTCTTAGAATGTGAGGAACATTCCTCATGCATAGGGCCTCCCTGAGCAGTCGGGTGGACAGTAGTATATTTGTGTTTATGACAGAATGAGAATGAAGCCGATTTAGCCTTATCCTTTTTTAAAAACTGTGAATTGATAAATTGTGGGCCTGAGGCAAGGAGGTTAAACTAAAGCTTTAGGAAGGCTTAGCACAGCCAGGTTCTCATTGTGCTTTTGGACATTGTGGACCATTGGACTATTTGAAAATAATACGTTGTTTTTTGTTTTTCCCTTTTGTGAATCACATGGGGATTGACACATGGACATTTTATTAGTCTGAAGAAGTTTCTTTGTCACTACACGAATATAGTAACAGCCAAATCCAGGGCAGTCATGCCTTAAAATGTTCTCTCTTTGATATGTGATTTGTACGGAAAAAGAAATATTGTTACTGGTTTGTTGTGTGCCCCTTCAACAAGGGAATAAAGTGGCAAACAGAAATGAAAAGTTGGGCAGATGATTCAAGGAAACAGATAGTGTGACCAAAAGCACAGACGACAAGATGGTTATGGGGTCCACTGAACACATTCATAAATAAGCACAGACTTTTAATACACTATGAAAGTTGCTGGTCCAACAGGATGAAGCATTATCTGCTGATCAACTCCCATCGTCCACAGAGTACATTTTTATTGCAGTATGTCTTTTCATGAAAATGGACAAAACTTGAAATAAATCACAATTACTTATTGGCTTAGTATTGAATAATAAATTTTTTAGTTTATAAGTACCTCACGGCCTTCAAATGTGCATTTCTTCAAATAGTTTCGTTACATAACATTCTTCTCGAACAATAATGATCTAAAAAGAAAAAAGAAAGAAAGAAAAGATACATAACTTAAAGCAGAAAGAAAAACCAAAAAACCATATTTTTGACATTTGATCTTAAACTCTATATGAAAAAACAACTCTCTCTATACGTTAGATGCTTAAATATAAATAATAAAGGACATATGTTATTTACATGTTACTACAGTAAGTTTGAAGAGGTAAAGACTGACATTAACTCATAAAGACAGTAAATGATTTAAGAAACATCAAAGTAATGTACAATATGTATTACAAAAAATATATAATAAACTTGTGATATGTGCCATTTCTTTGTCTTGCATTTCTCTGCCTTGTTTCACGGGTCTTTTTAGGATAAAATCTCCACGGATGGTGGAATATAGCAGTACTAAGAGAAAGACATCCTTCCTTTATTTAACCAAGTGAGCTTGCACTCTTCAACTCAGCCAAAAAGAAATAAAAATGAATAGTTATGAGCAAGTTTACCCTGGATAAACTCCCACTACATCAAAGATAGTCACACTGAAACAAGAAGAGATAGATGTTGCTATTGGAACACATACCTACACCGAGGGCCATTTGTAGAAAGCAGAAAGTTTGGCCGGGCGTAAACTTGGGTGGAGAATAGGATGATTATACAGGAAGAGACGAAAAGAATTTCAAGTGGCAAAAAAAGAGTTTTGCATATATTATGCCTCCACTGTATACCTCCGCAGTGGCATGATTTCAGACAGGAAATTAAAGTTGCTGTCACCCCCCCTGTGGGCATTTTACTATCTTAAAACCCAAATGGTTCCATATACTGGGAACATATGTTCACAAACCCTTGGATACCCACTGCACTGTCTGAACTTAGAAACTGGGATGGGTGACGTCGCAATAAGAGCATCATAGAGATGTCCTGTGAACATTTAGAATCTAGTGGCATTGCAGGTAGCCTGAGCAGTCAGCTGGCCTTTTTTTTTTTTTTTTTTTATCAAAAGAAGCTCTTGTTCAGGATGGAAAGGCTACTTCATGCTAAATTGCTACTTCTAGAGTGACAGGATCAGTCTGAAATAAAATGTCCTCTTTGTCCAATTTACATGTATTTGCAATTTGAAATGTACAGCAATTTCTCACAGTGAGGAAATGTTGCTCATTGTTTCAATAGAAGATTCTACTTCATTGTTGAATTTCCAGAATGGGGATATTTGAAATATTCCCAATGCCTACATGAATTCAAAACAGAATTCTAGGGTTTTAGGTTCATGCTAGCAGTTTCTTTACCGAATAGCTCAGAATTGTGTAAAGCCTTCAAGGCAATGTTAAAAGGGATTTCGAGACCTCTTTGGTGGAATCTTGCTCATCCATGCTTTGAGCCTAGCTCATTCTGAAGAACGGGAGTCACTGCAATCTGACAAAGAGCTCCTCAGTGTAGGTGGATTTAAAATGCAAAAGGAGGACACACTGAACACAGAGAGGTGGCATGGCATGTGACAATAGTGAAAAACTTGGATACCAAATGCTATGGGTAACATCAAAGACCTGAAGACAGGCAGAAGCACATCTTGAGTGGACTGCAGAAGAAATCTAGACTATTGCTCAGGTTTAGTCAATGGGCAACACGTGGCTCTACTAACAGGGGAGGGGATAGTTCCCTTAGTTGCTCCTTCGCTTGATAAATGACATGATTTTGACCCTGAGTGGAGCCCTCCCTCTTATTAACTCTGCACAAACACCTCAACAGAAAGGATCCAAGTTCCTCTCCTTCACAGCCCAGACTACAGACCTAACAGTTCAGACAAAGAGTCCAAAATACAGGGTGGAGTTGGCATTTTTTTTTTTTTTCATGTTGTAAAAGAAAAGTTTTTGGTTGAGCAGATCATGGAAAAGATGTAATGCTGTGGGACTCTGCCCTAGAACTTTCTAAAGGGCCCACAGCAAATCAAGGAAGATTTCCTACTTTAACAAAATTACTTGCATCCTCTTTAAACCCAGTAATTCCTGACTCAATTTCTGTTCAAAGTCTGAAGTTATATATGGTCTTATGACTTCAGATATTTTGGAATTAGAGGTATCTGTAAAGGAAGAGCCAGGAAGAGAAAGTTGTACACTGGAGGAGGTCTTTGTTTTGCAAAAAAAAAAAAAAAGGAGATTATTCTGAAGGGAAGATGGAATCTTTTGTGTGAGAGCAGAATGATCTCATAATGGGAAGGAACCTGGTTACAGGGACTTGGGGGATCAGAATAAGTGGCTCTTGTGACTCATTCTTCATGCTGAAGAGAGCCTGGGATAAAAAGGAAATTGTCACGTTGTTACCTTTTAGCTACAAAAGTCCATGCCAAGGAAGCCCCTTCTCTGAAGAAAATGAGAAGTTCACTCTAGGCTCAACCTGAGAAACTAGAAGGGCTTTAGAAAACAATCCTTGCCTGAGTCCCCAAACCATGGAGAAGCTCACTCAAGAGAAGGGCTCAAGGTAAGGCAAAAAGGACACATCTTGTGAATGTCAGGGACTATAAGACAAGTGTCAGTTTAACTCATGATGACAACAAGTAGACGGATACAAAATTTACATCTAGAAGATTTTACAAAAAAAAAATATGAACATGTCCTTATGAATTATGTTTATGGTGAGCTAGAGTTACAATTCGTTTCCATAAAAAAATACATATTTTATTTAAATGAAGGATAATGCATGGAAAATTAATTATATTAGATTCCTTTGCCATGAGCAATGCCTATCGCACAAGCTTGATGATAGATAAAATGAGACTAAGTCCACCCACCACCATTGATGTAGGATGAAGTTTTAAAGGATTGGATCCAAATAGGCTAAATCCCTAAGTTATTAATTGCTTCCTGCCCAGGGGGAGGAAAAAAATATCCTGTTTTATGCATGAAGAGTAAAGAGAACCTGAGGAATTACTGGATGGATAGGCAGCTACGTGGTTTCCTAGATTTAGGACTCCTCTGATTTTATCACTCTTCAGACCTTTGCTGGGATTATATATTTTTTTTTACAGAAATGGAATATGTCTCAATATCCTAGTTACAAACTAAGACAAACAGGTGTGCACAGCTATACTGTCAACTCAGCATTATTTCTGTTCATTCTACGAGAAGTTTGTGATGACTTTTGAAGGTGATATTATGAAAGCTTTTACAGAGTTATGGTTCAATAAATTTCTGTGAAATTACAGTAAAACATTAACATAAGAAGCCATTAAAAATTAGAGAGTGAATGTGAAATTCTGTGGCTGAATGGGAGGAAGATTATACTTATAATGCCTTGAACTCATTAAAGCTAAAACTTTTAAATGCTTCGCAACATACAGTTATTAATAAAAGAATTTGCCTATTGGTCCTGGATTGGAGAACTGATCAAATGCATTTATTTGTTGTTTGTGCAATGTAGACCACATCATTTGGAAGTTAGAAATGTGGACTACCAAACCTAAGAACCTGGAGGGGAAGAAGAAACTAGAAGGCAGCATTTGAATACTCACTAAGTGTTAGACATTATCTGGTTTTGTTATATGTGTTAATCTTCTCCACACCACAGCCTTTCAGACATCAGGAGATAAAACTTGGAGGAGGAAATTGTCCAAATTCACAAAGTTTATAAGTGGTGGAGACAGTACTCTGACCATAAAGCCCTCCTTTTTAACCTATAGGATGCTACCTGGTATATTGACATTGTGGATTCATTCTCATGGCTACATTTCATTTCCTTAAAAAGCTAAGTTTAGGAAAAGGTGCACAGAGTCACCAAGCTATGCAAATTGGCTTCTGAAGTAGTTCGAAACCAAAGCTAGAAGGGTTCATATTCTTCCAAAAAAAGAAAACTGGTTTTAGATATAACTTATACCATATCTATAAAGAAGGGCTGAAAATGAAAAGCCTGTTTGTACTTGAGGCAGGGGGAGGGAAAGAAAATAGTGGAAAGAAATAGGATTTGTAGGCAGAAAGCCTGGGTACAAGTATTATCTCTGCAGCTCACCAGATGTGTGGCTCCAAGAAAGATTTTTAACTTCCCCGAGCCTAGATTTTTCTTATCATGTCATGAGCTACAGAGAATAAAAAAGAGATAAAGGATGTTGTTAAAGCCATAAAATATTATAAAGTGTGATTTTTATTGGATAGTTCATTTCTTTGTATATAAGCAAACCTATACATAAGCCACTAAAGATGTTTAAATCTACACAGGTAATTCTTTAGCCTTTTTGGCAGGCTGTGGGATTTGAAGAGAGGTCTATTCCTCTATTCAGTTCTATTCCAGTAAGCTCATTTGAAGGGAAAGATTAGAAAAAGATCCTCAGTGGAACTATTTTGCCATTCTATGTGTCTTCTTTAAGAATTATTGGTTTCCTTCTCTTGGTCTGTTTTTAAATAGATCAATCAGGTAGGTCATGATAGGTTTGGTCCAGATAACAAAATAGTTTTTCCTATTCTCCTGTTGGATGATGTTTTGAAGCTCAACTGAAGTTCAAAACCAACAGCTACCCAGAGAGGTCCAAGGATTTTAGTACCAGGATGGCAATGGGAGCCTACAGGTATCTGCAGGGAAGGGGGTGGCTACCCTATTCAACAACAACCTTAAAGTCTAGGAATATTGCCACTTCCTATAGCAGCAAGAGAGTCTTATCTTTCACAAGCTGAAAGTATTTCTATTTCATACCAAATTAATCTTTTGGAGTAATAGCGTCCATAAATTCATTTTATTCTATCAGTTTCAGAGAAGACAAGCCAGAGATAAGAGTGTAAAGTGATTCATTCATAGAAACCCATCAAAACTTTCCTCTCCTTCCAGCATCTTAAGTTTCTAGATTTCAAATCTGCTTCACTAAACCCCACATCCCAGACATCAAGTCCTTCTGTCATTCATCATCAGGACAGAGAGCAAAGAAATCTAATGATTGGGAAGACATTAATTAGGCTGGAAAGACAGATCATTTGCTAGTTTGTAGAGCTGGCCTGGATTTGACAATCACCATGAAGGAAGAATTGTAATAAACTTTCAGATATCCAATTTGGCTGTATGTGAGTCTAAACTTCACCCTCCTTCACCCACATGCTTCTACCTCAAGTGCCATGCCTTAGGTAAATGAATTTAACCTACATTACTAAGATAGCTACTGATAGTTTTCAACTTGAGGGGTGGACACAGCCTCAGCATAAACTGAGGAAAGTGTCTCAGTCTTTAATTTGTAAATATTCTGTGCATTCATTGATCTGCTTCATGGCTGTTTGGCTAAAAGATCATTGCACAAGTGAAAGAATTTACTGGCTTCAGGATAGCGTTTGTTTGGAATTTTCATCTGTGTGTGTGTGTGTGTGTGTGTGTGTGTGTGTACGCATGTGTACAAAAACTAAAGCTGACACGAATGTGAGGATTCCAAATGGTTTTGAAAATTTAGTAACAGAAATAGTAAAAGCTAGCTCTGTCAAAAGCCACAGTTTGAATCTCCTTGACCGCCAACCTGTTTGGAAATGATACTAGTGGGGCTTACTAGGTAATGGGAGTTGTGTGCATAATGCAGGTGGACTTGGATGGGAGATCCCAGGTTACCCCCAAACTCCAAAGCAGGCCACTGTGTACCCCTAAGAGTTGCTGACCTCTGCTGTCCATACTTCAGAAGCTCTTATCTGGAATAATGAATAAAATGCTTGAAATATATAAAAAGTACCATGCAAATATCTATTTGTTAAAATATGGCTTTTTTGTTTAGGTTAAGTTTAATAAGAAAAGTAAATATGCTCATTTCCATGACTGAGTCTTAGAATGTGAGAAAATTCTCATGCATTAGGCCCCTCCCTGAGCAGTCGGGTGGACAGTAGTATGATTTGTTTTATAGACAGAATGAGGGGAATGAACCCGATTTAGCCTTATCCTCTTTTTAAACTGTGAATTGATAAATTGTGGGCCTGAGGGCAAGGAAGTTAAACTAAAGCTATAGGGAAGCTTAGCACAGCCAGGTTCTCATGGGCTGCCTTTTTGGACATTGTGGCCATTGGACTATTTGAAACATAATAGCGTTGTTTTTTTGTTTTTCCCTTTTGTGATCACATGGGATTGACACATGGACATTTTCATTAGTCTGAAGAAGTTTCTTACTGTCACTACAGAATATAGTAACAGCCAAGATCCAGGCAGTCATGCCCTAAAATGTTCTCTCTGATATGTGATTGTGTACGGAGGGAAAAGGAAATATTGTACTGGTTGGTTGTGTGGCCCCTTCAACAAGGAATAAAGTGGTCAACAGAATGAAAAGTTGGCAGATGATTCAAGAACAGATAGTGTGACAAAAGCAACAGACAGACAAGATGGTTATGGGGTCCACTGAACACATTCCTAAATTAGCACAACTGTCATAATACAATGAAAGGTGCTGGTCCAACAGACTGAAGCATTAGTCTGCTGATCAACACTCCCAGGTCTCCACAGAGTAGCATTTTTATTGCAGTATGTCTTTCATGGAAAATGGACAAAACTTTAAATAAATCACAATTACTTATTGCTTAGTATTTTGAATAATAAATTCTTTAGTTTATAAGTACCTCACGGCCTTCAAATGTGCATTCTTCAAATAGTTTCAGTTACATATACATTCTTTCTCCTGAACAATAAATTATTCTTAAAAAAAAAAGAAAAAGGAAAAGATACATAACTTTAAAGCAAAGAAAAACAAAAAACCATATATTTTTGACATTGATCTTAAACTTATATGAAAACAACTCTCTCTATACGTTAGATGCTTAAATATAAATAATAAAGGACATTATGTTATTTACAATGTTACACAGTAAGTTGAGAGAGTAAAAACTGACATTAACTCATAAAGACAGTAAATGATTTAAGAAAACATCCAAGTAATGTACAATATGTATTTACAAAAGAATATATAATAGAACTTGTGATATGTGGCCATTTCCTTTTGTCTGCATTTCTCTGCCTTGTTTCACGGGTCTTTGAGGATAGAAATCTCCACGGATGGTGGAATATAGCCAGTACTAAGAGATAAGACCAGTCCTTCCTTATTTTAACCAATGTGAGCCATGCACTCTTCAACTCCAGGCCAAAAGAAATAAAAATGAATAGTTACTGAGCAAGTTACCCTGGATAAACTCCACCTACATCAAGATAGTCACACTGAAACAAGAAAGAGATAGCATGTTGCTATTTGGAACACATTTACCTACACCGAGGGCCATTTTGTAGAAAGCAGAAGGTTGCCCGGGTAAACTTGGGGTGGAGAATAGGGAGAGTTATACCAGGAAAGAGGAACGGAAAAGGAATTTCAAGTGCAAAAAAAGGGAGTTTTGCATATATTATGCTCCACTGTATACTCCGCAGTGGGACATGATTTCAGACCCAGGAAATAAAGTTGCTGTCACCCCCCCTGGGCAATTTCTACTATCTTAAAACCCAAGATGGCTTTCCATATACTGGGAACATATGTTCACACTCCTTTGGATTACCACTGCACTGTCTGAACTTAGAAACTGGGATGGGTGACGTGGCAATAAAGCATCATAGAGATGTCCCTGTGAACATAAATCTAGTGGCCATTGCAGGTAGCCCTGAGCAGTCAGCTGGCCTTTTTTTTTTTTTTTTTTTTTTTTTTTATCAAAAGAAGCTCTTGTTCCAGGGATGGAAAGGCTATCTCATCTAATATGCTACTTCTACGAGTGACCAGGATCAAGTCTGAAATAAAATGTCCTCTTGTCCTAAATTTTTACATGTATTTGCAATTTGAAAATGTACAGCAATTCTCACAGTGAGGAAAATGTTGCTCATTGTTCTCAATAGAAGATTCTATTCATTGTTGAAATTTTCCAGAATGGGATATTTGAATATCCCAATGCCTACAGAATTCAAAACAGAATTTCTAAGGTTTTTAGTTCATGCTAGCAGTTTCTTTACCGAAATAGCTCAGAATGTGTAAAGGCCTTCAAGGGCAATGTTAAAAGGATTTCGAGAACCTCTTTGGGTGGACTATCTTCTCATCCATGCTTTGAGCCTACTCATTTCTGCAGAACTGGGACGTCACTGCAATCTGACAAGAGCTCCTCAGTGTAGGTTAAAATGCAAAGGAGGACACCACTGAACACAGAGAAGGTGGCATGTGACAATGATGGAAAACTTGGGATACCAAATGCTATGGGTAACATCAAAGACCTGAAGACAGGCAGAAGCACATCTGCAGTGGACTGCAGAAGCACGTGGGAACATAACAGCATGACTTATGCCAAGCCTGCATTTTTCCACTAAGACCCACTTGCGTGTCATTTCTTCCCTTTTATTTTTAACATAAAGATTTGGTGAAGAAATACATTCAGTTTACCCCCAAACAAGAAGCGATCCCTCTCATTGATGTCATGAATCCCTTGCTAACCTGTTTCCCATTCTGTCCCATGGCTCCTAGAAGGCCACTTGGAACTTAAGTAAAGCTCTAGCCCTGATTGGACAGATAACAGGCAGGGCAGGAAATGGGTTCCATGTTTTAAAAAAAAAATTGTCTTATTTTCCTGAATTAGCAGTTATGTCAAATGTTAACACCTATAGGCCTTTGTTGGATTGACAATCACAAGAGAACATGCAACGTTTAGACCAATCTGAGTCTTGTTTTGTGACAGTAAAGCAAAAAATTAAGAGAAAGGGAAAAATGAGGGATACAGGCTGGAAATGGAGAGGTCGGGACACAGGTGGGGGGTCACTTCTGCAAATAAAGGTGCAATCTTTCCAACACACTTGACATTTCCTGATGAAAGTTCTTCCTGTGGAAAGTTCTTACTAAGTTCTTACTAATCACAAATCACATGCACATTGACCATTCCTGACAAAAATGTTCATGCATAGTTATGACCTAATCAAGGCAACATGGAAAAACAAAGAGAAAAATCATGGGGAAGAAAAGGAGTGGTCAAAGAAACTTCAAAATTTCAACCGATTCACCAAGCTGTTCTTCACCTATACAGTTATTCCTTCTAAGCATTCTACAATGGAAATAATTGCCTACGATGACAAGTCACCACTATGTACAACAGGCACATTTTATGCTAGAAGTATTTCAGACAAATTGCTGCATGTGCTGTCTGGGCTGGGCTTTTTGTGCCACAATATGCCTCTTCTTGAGCTGAGAAGACACAACCAATCGCGAGTTCCAAAAATCAGTGAAAAAAAGACAAGTCAGAAACGATTGCACCTTTATCAGCTGTGGTTTGATCTTCAACTAGGTGAGCTGCTGGATCATTCCCCCAGAGAGAAAGTAGAAAATTCAGTCCTCTTGAAAGGTGTTACATTTACTCACATAGCAAGCCGGAACCCATTTTCTAAGCTATCCCTAAAACTGTTGCATTTTTTTTTGTCAAGAAAAATAAATTCAAAGAAAGTAAACGGCAGCTCCTTTTTTAGTAAGAGCAAGCTGTCTTCTGATTAATAATATATATTTTTTTTGTAAAATCACAGTATTACTTTCTTCCTAATATTTAACATTACTTAATGCAGTTTCCTGCTGTATTTAATAGTAGCATGCTGTTGGATCTACTATTATCTCAGCGCCCAATGAAGCAAACCTTTGGCTGGCAGAGTAGACACAACTCATTTCAGATTCTGAAAGCAAAGAAAACTTTGTACAGAAGAGGAGTATTCGGATGGATGTGCTGTTACAAGACATACTGGTCGGGTGCTACTACAAGCAATCGGAGGGACAGTGGCAAGTCTTGCAAACCATACATCCAATCGACATCATAATGCAATGCACAAGAAGCCAGCAGAAACGGAATCTATGGGAGGTTTTGCTGAAATACTGTGAAAAAGCAATCACTTTTAACTGCACAAAACTTGCTCTCGACATAACACAACATAAAGGCACCATTGATATCTTTCTCGTTTTGAAATACTGTAAAAAACTGCTACATATGGCACATAACACATTTTTACATACATATATTTAATTTATAAAAGTTTTTTTTTCCTCCTGTTTTCTATTTGCAGAACTTGCTTAAAATAAAATAAATTGTTTAATTTAAGGTGGAATACTTTATTATATAAAATAAAGTTTTACAGGTGAATCTATGTGTTTATTTAAGGTTTTATACAGCGATAGGGTCTTGGTTAGCAATTACACTAGACAGCCTGGCCTGTAATTCTTCCTGCGTGGAGAAGCGGCCCGCTGGGTTAGTCCTGCTCTCGGCCAGCCGGAAGGCAGGTGCTGCCTCCAGTCCGGCTGCCAGGGGGTTCTGCATGCCCAGGAAAGGCGTGTCTTCTCCTACTCTTTCGTCTTCTGTCTCGCTCTCTGAGTTACTGCTCTCAGAGCTTGTGTTGCCGTCCACTTCCAGCTTGTTGGCAATGTGGCCATTGGGCTTGGTTCTTTTGGCCCGCCGGCTGTTGGCGAGTTTCTTGGCAGGCTCCTGAGCTGGCTCGTACTCCTGGGTGGTTTCATACTCCTCGTCCTCCGCGATCTGCAGGGGGCTGGGAGGGAGGCTGCTGCTCTCGTGGGCCGGGTTATGGTGGAAGTGGCCGAACTGCGGAGGGTGGTGTTCGTGCTTCTTGTCCCGGGGCCTCGGGGGCGTCACGAAGAGCAGAGGTCTCTCTTCCTCCACGAAGGGGCTGACTGCCACGGAAGGCATGGACACCGTCATGCTGGACACGGGCGGGGACGTCTCCGAAGGGGGCGATTTGGGGCAGCTTGGCGTGTGGAACTCGACAGGTGACATGCGCGCCGGGGTGGTCATGGCTGACACATACCTGCGTGAGCACAGAACACCCCGCGTGAGTGTGGCGGGACCCAGAGCAGGGAGGGGAAGAAGGGGCGACAGAGTTCACGACCTCATCTACTCAGAGAACAGAGAATTTCCACTCATCCAACACCTCCCAGCCTTTTACGCTAAGACATTCCGCACCCTTGGAATCTAAAGTTATATGTAACCCTAACAATATCTGTACCCACAGAATTTGGGGGGGAAAAATAAATAAATTTAAAAAAAAATAAATAAAACCAAGAGTTTCTTCATAGGAATACATGCAAAGAGCAAGCTACACAGCCCAGCTCATCAGAGCTCTGGGGATTTTTCAATCTCATCGCGATTTTAAATAAAAAGCACATGAGCCAAGATAGATGGGAATTAGGTTCTGGAAACCTCTCTCGGCTTATAAGGACCAAGGCTCAGGGATTTGGAACGGAAAGAAGTATTACTGAAATACTATACCTTCCTAAAGGCCAAGGGGTCTTAGAGAATGAAGCCCAAATGGGGAATGGAGGAAGATCTAAGATGAGTTGAGGAGAGCTGGATCTGCATGCATTTGGGTCTGTGTGCCTTGTTTCTCCTTAGCCCAGCTATAAGGTTATGTCTTATGAAAAAAAAAGAGCATAGCAACTTAGATTTATTCCTGGTCACAGTGTCATACATTTGTGTGCTTTTCATTTTTTTTTTTCTTTCCCCATGAAATGCTACTGGTTAACATTCAATTTGCAACTATTCATCCCAGTGTCCAAGACGGTCCAAAGTAAGCCTGAGAGAGCAGCTCATGCTGCCTTCACAGTTACCACGATGGAGGCTACGTCCAATCTTGGGTTTCCCTTTCTTCCAAAACCCACAGCTACATCGGTCTCTGGTTAATCAAGGATCGGCTGGACCACGTTACTTTCTGTCATGTTCCGTCTGCTAATACTCAGTGAATCTTGTCATCGGGACACTGAGCACATTGTTTTCATCGTACCCTGCTTTCTTCCCTAAAAATAAGAAGGCCTTGCTTTTGGCACTGAGAAAGATGGGGCTTTCTCATTTCTCAGCTCTTGACAAAAATGTTACTATTGTATAGCACTAAGTGACTCTTTTCTTCACAGTGGCATTCACAGAGTCTGATTTGACGAGACCTGTGATGATGACAAAGGACACCATCCTCTGAACTCCACTAACAGGAACCCTCTGACCTTCCCTGCTTTTCTGAGATTGACAGCGATATCAATGTGAGACCCAGCAGTCTCTAAAATGGCAAAGTGTCTTAGAAATTGAAATATTTGGGGCTCCACTCTTCAGACTTTTTGCTTTGGGGGTACTCAAATTAAGCGCTCTGCGAAAGGCTAAGTCAAATTCAACCAACACGTAAAAGTGATTCATCTCTTCTCTCTACGATCTCTAAGTTCAGGTATGTTGTGTATAATATCTAGGACAGGTACGGAAGTCTACCCCAGCAGGGAAATGTCAACCTCCCAGGATGAATATCACATGTAGTGATGGTAAAGCAAGATTTCAGCCCTGGCCTCCTTTCACGTTTCAAAAAAGACTGAATTGAGATGGACAGACTTCCTTCATACACACAGATATAATTACATGAATTCAAGACTAATAACATCCATCAGAAATCAAGCAGGTGGGAGGGGGAGGAGAGGAGGGATAAATTCACACCGAATGGGTACAATGCACACTATCTGGGGGATGGGCACACTTTGATTTAAACGGTACAAAGCAATTTATGTAATCAAAATGTTTGTACACCCATAATATTCTGAAATTAAAAAATATATATATATATAAATAAATAAGCAAAATATATATTTTTTTTATTTAAAAAAAGACTAATGTTTTAAACCAGTTTGGGACCCTGCCAACATTTTCACAGATAGGTTGCAGGGAAACCTCTAATTCCATAAATTCCATAAAGCTCTCGAATACCGTTTTTGGGGACAGGCCTTTGACGAAGTGGACAACAGGCTCTATAGGACCTGCAAGCCCAGAATGGGTCACCCTTCGTTGTCAGTACGTCCCAGTCTGTGAGTAGAAAGAGTCTACCCAAATCATTTCCACCGGTGTAACTACCAGTAAGTGTGGGTTTGGAGTTATGTAAACCTTTTAGTAAATGTTCAAAGATTAGACTGAGATGATAATAAAATAAAACAAAATAAAACAAAACCCAGTGGTCTTGAAAACAAACGGGGAACAGCTTACTGATGGACTAGAAATATCATTTGGGACTATTTCTCTTCCAGCTTAGGTGAAAATGGATAACGAGAATCTATTACTTCCATAGACCTATTGAGTATCTCTTTCAGTTTACTTTTCTCCATTCTTTGCTTTCCCTTTGCCCTACCTGGCCCCTCCTCCAACCCAATCCACTCTCCCCAGCAGAAAACATAACATTCTGGAATAAAGTGTCCTATCAAAGGCAATATCTCCTTAGAAACCCATCTAGGAAGACTGCCAGATGCAGCATACGAGAGATTTGTTTATTCCCCCCTTCCTGGAGTTTCATACAAGGGATACTAGAAGGTGGAACATTCTAAGCAGTTGTTCCCTACGACCGTCGGCGGTGACGCAGCCCCTGATGTGATCTAACGGAGGCTGGAAGGCAAGACAGAGTTAGCACACGCAGGGACACGAGGCCTGCTCGCCCACCGTAGTGGAGTTGGGGTAATGGGCAAGCCGGAATTATAGAAGGGTCCTTAGCAGGGCTTGATGCCATCTCTCTCTAAAGTTAGGACCGAGGACACCGAGTACCCGAGTGGGCCTGAGCCTACAGGCGGAAGTGGAAACTCCATCTGCTGCAAACCACTCCAGCTCGCTAAGAGTCTGTTGCCTGCCGGCCACGGGGACGTCCGAGAGGAGCCCGGAAGACTTGAGTTCAGCCAAACAAAAAGATGATTTCGTCAACTAGGGGTGCTCCTAGGGCGGTCAGTGCCGCCCCTTATTCTGATTAGAGCAGACTTCCTGGGTGGCACTGTGCAGGAGGGCACGGGCACTCTCTTACTGAGGTTCTCCTCTGCAGTGGCTGTGCACTGCGCTTTTACCTTTCACTGTGAGGAGAGTCTCGGTAGGAGTCAGGGGTTTCTCTGGCATGCCTGAGGAAGCTGTTACATTCCCGAGGGCCTCCCATGCCATTGAGACGTCCTCTTGGGCCCCCCATGGGGCTGCTGTGCCTACTGTTTTCTACCGACGACATCACGATTACAGAGTGGCTTTCCGAAAGGATGCTTTCAGTATGTCCGTTGCTCCAGCTAGGGTAGAAATGTGAAAGGCAATGATATATATATATGTATGTTTTTGAAATTATTTGCAAAAATGGAAATGAAAGGAAGTGATTCTGACAAACATTTTCAAATGGTCGATGCATCAGCAGCTCAGGACAACATGACTTGTCTCAGAACAGAATTGTTACAAAGGCATTGGACATAGAAAAAAGGTCTTTATTCAGATTGGCTTTGCAAGGATACAATTTAGTCATTTGTTCACTCGCTCAATAAATATTTATCAAATGCCACTCTGTACTAAGCATTCTTACAGTCTCTTGATTTTAGAGTGGCTTAGGTTAAAGACACAATTTGTATGAGCTACATTTGGAAGTCTAGTGTTGCTCTTGGTAAAGTACAGTCAGAGAAAGATCACCAGGACATTTAAAAACTTAGAGACCAGCTATTTAACCAATTCTTACATGCATTTATTTCCCAGAGCAATCCAATTATTGGAAGAAGTCAATTTCTAAGTATTATAAAGAAAAAGAAGCAAAGACAGACTTTTCCCAGTGTAGCAAGATAATCTCTAGAAAAAGGGAACAGCATTCCTATGGGCTGTTCTTACCTCTTTTTCATTAATGGAAAAGTTGAGGCTCCAATTTATACAACAATTAGAGGCAGAGCTAGCTGATGTTCCAAGTGTAGATGTCCAAAGACTACACCTTTCGCTGTCACATTAAGTGTTTCCTGTTTCTTTCTTAGGCAGCAATGGCAAAAGGCAGCATGCACAAATTCATTCTTAAGAGAAATGCCATGAAACATTTTCATTCTCGTACCTGTGACTAGGAGTCTGGGTGACAGTCGTGGAGTGATGAGCTGTCGAGGTGTAGTGACTGGTGGAAAAAGATGTCTCTGCTTCTCTCTCGACAATTTGCTCGCTAGAGATGACGTTTTTGGATACATATTGCTAGATAAACAAAGAGACACAACTTGAAGATTCATGTAGATCAAAACACTAACATTGTCACACGCACACACACACACACACACACACAAACCTATTCTCATACACGTGCTTTGTAATAAATTCCATTTCTCCAATGGCTGAATAGAAAATCTTGTCCTGGCTACTCTGGCTTTTACAGTGGATGAATGGAGTTAATAAAATACTCTTTGATGTGTACGCAATGTAGGTCCTACAATCCCAAATACATTTTATTAGCTAAAGACCTATTTCTTCTATTTCATTTTTAATTGATACCATGACTAGAATTCAATACAAATATCTGTTTGACATTCATTTTTTTTTTTCATGCTTGTTGCAAGTTGAAGAAGGCTAACAGATATTTGAGTGAAATGAAAGCATGGAAATGGTTTGCCTTATTTCAAATTTCCAGTCACCAGAAATTTCTTTTTAAAACCTCTATATTTGGGGTCTACCTTTCTCTTTCGATTTTCTAGAACCCATACTGTTACCACTGAACATTTTAACTTGTCATCAGTGGTGAGACTATCAAGGCTACTGGGAAATCTGAGGGACTTCCAAGGGCAGTCAATGTCACATCTTGAGGAAGCACAGAATATGCAGCGCATCCTATACAGAGGGCCTTACACTTAGTGCAGGTACCTAGCTTAGTTACATCAGCACACCACAGTAGCCATTACTGCTTTCTGTTAGTGAGAGAGGCTCATTTTGAAGTTGCGCTTCATTAATAAATGCTGTTAATATTTATACTAAACCAAACTAAATAACAGGAAAAGGAATATTCTTTAATGAAATAGGGCACTGCCTTGTCTCATGGTCTGTAGGGTCTACAGAACCTGATATACTCATCAAAACCCAAAAACATTCAACTTGGATTACTCTTGACATTCTAGCTGGTTCTCTTGGGTAGAAAGGCTATTCCATGTGGGTTTTCTTGGGAAGTACAGCTAGCTTGATTTGAAGAAAAGATATATAGTGACCTATTTCCTATTCTGGGCACCACTGCACTCTTTCTTCTTGGGAGGCAAAGTAAGCTCAGTGAATCTAATGAAAATAATATTTAACAATCATCGAACATTCAATAAATGCCACTGGGCCGTTTTAAGCAGATTATCTTATTTAATCCTCACAAGGGGTCTTTAAAGTATTATTCTGATGCTTGTTTTCATAAAGAAGAAATAAGGTTGAGAAAGGATAAAGCCCAGAGACATACACAATTTGAGGCATAACTGTAACCCAGGGGGCCATTCTGACTTTTACATATTTTAACATACATAGTGACAGATTATAGTGATGTTTGTCATGGATATATTTACCAGCTGTACAGACATTCTGATGAACACTGTTAGGGGAAAGAAAGCAATAAAGTATGTTAACCTATTAGCCCCTTTTCCAAAAGTCTCCTGAAGGTCTTTGCTATAAGACTTGCTGGTAGTTGAATAACCACCAACTCCAGCCTTGAATCTATGATATATCTGCTCCACTCAAAATATACCTCCTCTTTCTATAGGATACAAAATGGCACTGCAATATAATCTTCAAGCTTTGTGTATTTAAAAAAAAAAACATACATCAGAGGAAAATGAAGAAAGCAAGAAGGATTATGCTAGAACAGAAAAAGCAATACTCCAAAAGCCAGGAGTTCTCAGTCCAGCTCTGGCTCTTATCTATTAAAAAAAAAAAAAACACAAAAAAACCAGAGAGGTTTGGAAGATATCTTAAAACTCTCCAGAATCTGATATTCTTTGATCTCATTGTATGTAAACACTGAGTGCTGAGTGCTTAGTAAAGTATAAACAAAATATTTGAATGATTACAGATATGTTGCATCTGGAGGGCATGACATCACATAGGAAGAGCCAGGCAGTAGGCAAGGATCACGTTCTTCTAGTTTTGCTACTGAGAAGTGCATGTGATAAGCCACTTGAACTTTTCATAACCTGATTTCTTCCTTTGGAAATCAGAATCCATAAATCACCAGGTACTGTGAACTGCCCCTAATAAAAATAACTCTAAAGCTCTTTGCCTGGTTATCTGTACTAACCAGTTATAGACTGGAATGGCTTTTATTTCCAAATTACTAAAAAAAAAAAAAAAATTCTTTCTGATTCTTGTATTCCTAATTTTATTATGAATCTAGAATGCCAGTTATGGCCTCCTTGCAGAACAAACTCAACACTATTTTCCAACCCCTTAATGAACACTTTATAAGAGGAAATGTGCTTGTTTTACAGTAACCAAATCCACTTTAAAAAATGTTCCCATTATTATTTGCTCCTGGCAAAAACTTGGATTCCTGGAAGCCAATGGTGATTAATGGCAGCAGCTAAAAGCCTAAGAGCTTTGGAAAATAAACTTCAAGGCGGGCGAGTGGAGGAAAGATGGAAAGATGCTCGGTTTTTGCCACTGGCCAGAGTCAACATACATTGACCAGCTGCACGTTCTCGGGAGGCGGGTTGGGATGGTGAGGCCCGTTGGCTAAGTTCACCATGTTGTTCCGTTCAGACCGAAGACTCTGCCGCAGCCGGTCATGGAGCTTTTTCCGTTGTTTCCTGCATATGAAAAAGGGAGTATTTATTTTTTTCCTGTCATTTTCATTTTCATTTCTTTTCTTTTTTTTTTTTCAGAGACAGAGTCTCACTTTGTTGCCCAGGCTAGAGTGAGTGCCGTGGCGTCAGCCTAGCTCACAGCAACCTCAAACTCCTGGGCTCAAGCGATCCTCCTGCCTCAGCCTCCCGAGTAGCTGGGACTACAGGCATGCGCCACCATGCCCCGCTAATTTTTTCTATATATATATTAGTTGGCCAATTAATTTATTTGTATTTATAGTAGAGACGGGGTCTCACTCATGCTCAGGCTGGTTTCTAACTCCTGACCTCGAGCAATCCACCCACCTCGGCCTCCCAGAGAGCTAGGATTACAGGCGTGAGCCACCACACCCGGAGTCATTTTCATTTCTTAGTACAGCCAAATCTTTATTCTAGCAACACCTATGAGTAACTCAAGGTAGTGGATTGATGGCAAGGAAGAGGGAAGAGAGTATGTCTACTGCCTCCCATAATAAGTGAGATCACAGATCTGTAGCAAATAGATTTAAAAGGCTGTACGGGATCTTTATAGAAATTTAGCTGTTTGAGAGACAGGAAAGAGAAAATAGAGGAGAAAATGAATACGTTGATATTTGGCTAAGATCTCAACTTTCTGAATTAATCTATCTTTGCCTAAGTATTACAGATGGTCAATTATTTCAGAGAACAATTAGTTCTGTAGAATGGATAAGGCTGACTCCATTTATATTTGCTCCTGTGGGTATCAAGAAAATGAACTGAGTTTTGAACCTATATGTTACACATAGCCTATGTGCATATATCACATACGCATGAGTGAAAATATGGACATATTTTGCCAGTAGATGTTGGCACAATTGTAACATGATCCTACTCTTGTAATGCTTTTTGTAGAATGAGGTAATGAATATTGAGATTGAATCTAATAAGACTCATGAGGTCCATTCCATGAAGGCTGTCTCTCTCACCTACTCAATTCTAGCAACACACTAAATCCTGGGGTATTGAGAAAACACAATCCATGCCCTTGATTGTGTGGCACAAAAGCATATTATTTTTCTTCCTCAGTGCAACATCCAGATGATGATAATATTCCCATGGATGTTTTGGCAAGAGACTATTATGAAGCAAAAATAATTTTTTTAAAAACCCTGTTCATTTAACATTATTTCAGACTTGAAGTAGAAGTGATATGTACAAGAGAAAAATAAAAGGAATTCACATGATATGATAATTGGATTTGTTAATGGGAACCAAGCTTAAGGGCCAAACGTACTGAACACAAATCTATTTTAATGTTTTCTCTTTTATTCTTTCAAAGCAAGTTTTGTTTGATTTTCCCCCATGAGATTCTTTTTGTACAGCTCACACTTTGAGAGCACATTTGTATTAGCAACCTAATTAGATAGAAATGAAAATAATTACTATAACATTCAGAAAACTGCATTTCATCTATGGCCATTACCACTCTGAATGCGCCCGATCTCGTCTGATCTCAGAAGCTAAGCAGGGTGGGGCCTGGTTAGTACTTGGATGGGAGAAAACTGCATTTCAAGTATTACCAAGCGTTGACCTCATCTCCTAAGTTTTGGTGTTAATTGGACTTGTCCTCAGCAGTGAAGCTAAATGGACCTTCAGCTCCTAGCTTCTCTTAGGACCTGGTACCTGTGTGCACACGCGCGTGTGCACACACACACGTGGGCAGTTCTGGGCTTCCATACAAGCCTGTCTCACCAACTGTGATCACTTATCATGAATCTTCTGAACACTTTCGCACGCATAGGCAAAGCTGTCTGATGTATCGGATTAGGAAAGGTCCTCAAAGAGCATTATTCAGAGGAGGAAAGAAGGGGGAAAGGTCTCTCCCCTATCCCCAGCCTTCCCCCCATGACTTTCCAAGATTGAGCAGAGCCCTGGCTGTCTAAGGCGTGTCTGCACTAAGGAGAGAGACAGGCAGGCGTGGAGGAGGGAGGTTTACTTGGTTTTGCAGTAGGCCACCACACACATGATGCCAACCACAAGGAGAGCGATGCAGATGCCAGTGATGGTGAGCACTCTCTTCTGGTAGAGTTCCTCCGCTTCTGGAAAGGGGGGGGACAGCAGATGTCACCAAAGGTCACTTACGCTCGCCAGGACTTACTACAACTGAACAGTTGGCATGCTGCACGACACTGTCCATGTTCACAAGAAAAATGAACACATGATGATTCTTTACATTTACGTATCTAAGGCACAACATGCTCTGTACTATGCTTTGAGGATAAAAAAGCCAGCTGGGGCCATTTACCATAAAAATACTATACTCTAAAATTACTCGAATTATAAGCTACAGATGAATACGTGCTTTATTAAACTGGCAAATCATGAACATTAATTATAAAATAACTCTTCGGTTAAAACTCTGTATTTTTTCAAAATTATCTTTCAAAAAAAATAAAAATAAAAATCTCTTGCAAAGACAACAGGAATCAACACCCATAAAAGGAGCTGGGATTGGTCTCACTGGGACCACCCCCACCCCCTCCCTTCTTCCTCCCTTTTCTACCCTCAGCCTGTTTGTATTTCCCAGCTATTTTATAACATCACTTTATGTCCCGTGGTCTTTACAAAGAGTCATTTCTAACTTAAAAAATATTACATTCAAAGACATTTGCACACATGAACTTGGCTTGTAGTTAGCAAGTAAATGGAGTCCTGTTCTCTATGATTTCACAGTGACATATGAACATAAGAAGCAAAACAATATAAAGTAGCAGGGCACTGTATCAAAGAAAACCCAGTATGGTGGGTAAGATAGTTCTGGGCCCAAATGAAGATTGGTCCTTTGGAAGACAATTCTAATTACTTCACCAACTGCACTTTACAGAACAAATTTGTTTGTATAAAGAAGTCACTAGCACAAATGATATGTGCGATTTGGAACAGACTGCACATTCCTACATTGGCCAACTTGGCAAATTAGCTAATGTAGGTTATGCTAAGGAAGTGTGACGCTTAGAACTTTGAACTAAAGGTACGACTAGACCCAAAATGCAATCATGCTGTAATTCATGGAAGTTTTTCTCTTTGCAAATTAGTTTCTTTGGGGGATGACTTGATTATACTAAGGTAGGTCAAATTCCTAACAAGATTTGCCAATTTAATGGAGACCCCAATTGCTTAGGACCTGTGCTTCCAATCAGTCTAATGACATTTATTGGAAGATCTTCTCAAGTTTGCTCAGAAAGAGAACTCAACTGGTACATAATAAACAGTGTAAACTGTTGACTTGCCATTTTGATTAACAGGCTGGTCAAGAACTGGGGAAAATTGCGTGAATAGAGTTATCTGATCTGGACATTGACAAGGGACCATCAAAGAATAATTTCTATTTTCCATCTGAAGTCTCAGCAACAGCACACCTTTTTCTCTTTTGAGAGCAATGTGCGAGACATTTTCTTAAAATGAAAAAGTGAATTTTAATTTCTGTGATACAGTGGACCTTATCACGAAACAAAACATTTCCTACAAGCCGAGCCCACGATCATCAAATCCCAGTTAACGGGTCAAGAACACGGTCAAATCAAATTAATGTAGCTCTGATTATTAACAGGAGGAGGAGGAGAACAGAAGTCAGTGGGTAAAAGACTAGAATGCCGCAGAGATCACACGAAAACAAATCAAAAGGGTTGGAGGCGGGGAAGGAAAAACAAACTGAGAGGACAGACAGACTGACAGAATGACAGAGGGAGCGAGGAAGTGAAGTACGAGGGAAAACAAGGTTAAAAGTTAAGGAGCCATCTGAAGTCCCTGGCACAGCATGCCTGATACTAAGGGAGGAAAAATAAAGAAAGAAAAGAAAACCAGAGGGAGGGAATGGGAAGAAAAGGTGAAAATGCAAAGTTGGAAGGGGCGTCCCATACAGCATAACTCCTAACCTGGGCTGGCGGGCATGTGGAAGCCACAGTTAGAAAGCAAAGCAGCTGGTGCATCATTGAGTGCCAAACAGTGTTTCGGGACACACAGAGCTGGTGTTGCAGATTTTTTTTTTTTTTGGTGCAGCAAAAGTCAAATAAGGACATGGCATGTGAGCGCTTATGTGTTAATTGCTTGTGTCTGCTGCCTTCCCTCCTGCATAGCCACAGAACTGGGGATTCATTTCCACGAGGTGTTATCTGTGAGCTGATGCCACTGTAGCCCCCCTGCCTGACCTTGGCCTTCTGATCGGTTTTGAGGATATCTGTCTAAGAGGACCTATCACCCGACTGGTCCTCCTCCCGGGGACCCAGGACGCAGGGCAGGGCTCCTTGGGCTGTGATGAGCTGGTCAAGAAACAGGAATGTGGTACTGCCACCAAGAAAATGAAGGCCCTGCCTGAATCTGTCCTCTTTTAAAAAGGTAGGGCCGTGGTGACACTTTTTCACCGTCTTTACAAAAACCTGGGACACTCTTTTGCAAACTTCAAAAACGGGGGCATGGCCCAGGGATGAAGGGGACAAAAAGGGCATCACGTGTATTTTCAGGGATTCTCCGGACACGTTTTCTTTCGGATGTTTTGTTAATTACAAAAGAACAGGCTGAGTTGGGTTTGCGAACAAATGATACCTGCTCATCCTTTCCTGTGTTATGTAGAAAGACACAGGTTTTCCAGTCAAATGATTATTTCATAGAAACAAAAAGGCAGCTCAAAGAAAGTCCAGAGGGTAATGTAAAAAGTCTTAAAATGAGCCAATTCGAGCCAAGGCCCGCAGAATACGGACGTGTGCTGAAAATTTCTGTTCACACCAGCAATTACCAAACGCACTAGAACTCTCATCCCAATTTCTGTTTGAGTTGTTCATGGCTTTGGTTGACCAGGTGACCCAACAATAGGAATGCATTCAAGGAAAAATACTTGGTGAACAAAAGGAGAAGAAAAAAAAAAAAAACAGGTTCTTTTAACCTCTTTTGTTCTCTTATGTTTTCTCAAGCATCAGTTCAACTGGGCAAGAGCAAATTAGACACAGAGCTAAACACAAGAGTCGGTTGATCCAACTGGCGAGTTTCTCTTAGTGGGCAGAAATGCTTCTGAATCTTTCTGGTTTGGCTGGACTACAAAGTGTCTAGATCAGACACATTTTTCAGTCTGATCCGGCCTGGCCAAGAGACAGACTCCTTATCTTTCTCAGTTTTAACTGACCTGTAAAGTCTGATTTTCTAAAAGGACACAAAGTACTGGTTTAGTACACTGGCTGGCATGGAAGTCGGAAGCTTCCGGTAAGCGTGCCTTGGAGACGAGTCTCTTTACTCACCTGTAAAATATCTTACAGAGGGAGAAGTTCTAGATGTGAACTCTCTTTTCCTTCATTACTTGGGAATAGAAACAGTAAATTCTAAAGTTAGACCCTAAAGTGGTAAAATGAGAAATATGCTGTTATGGATAAAGGAAATTTATCCATATGGTGGGATTTCTTTCCCTCCATGCAGGGAAAGCCAATAAGCCTTTTCGGAAGTGGGACAATTTTTGTCCCAAAAGATAACTGTCCTCACATGGACCACCACTAAGGTTGGTATTCCCTCTTGCGGTCCTCACTCTTGGGAGAAGTGTTGCACAAAGGCCTGTTCCCATAAATGTGGGGGTTTTCTCATCCAATCAAGTTTTCTCCTGGAATTTTTAGGGGGAGAAATGGGCAATTAATCACACTTTTATCTCTGTGGCTGCTAGAGCTTGCAATTGCCTCACTGGCCACAAATAGCGGCGACTGCATTGGGTGCAGACTGTGATGTCACCATGCACAAGCATGCAGTGGCTGTAGGGTGTCCTCACTGCATGATGCCACCGAAAGCAGCCAGATGGGGATCAGGTATTCTGGTAATCAGGACATGGCATTCCCAGGGCTGCACGTAACATCTAGAAAGACAGTCTGGCCTGGCCCCATGGAGTCCCTGGGATGGTAGCATAGCTTCCTGTTCCCCCTAAGACTGGCTTGTTCTCCCAACTATTTAGGATGAAGACCTTTGGAAGGAGCATGCCCAAATTTCATACACTCATAGGAGATTTTTCTTTTTACATTTACAGTGTGAAATTTTCTATTTGATTACTCGTCTGGATCATCTTAGTGACTCAAATTTAATTCCATTACCACTGGAATTTCCACCTCAAATAGCACAAGGCTTCTTTCTTTCTGTTTTCTATTTCCTTGCTCATAAGATAATGAAGTTGACCAGAGGCATGCTTGTATGTCTCCAGAAAATATGCATAATTCGAGTCTGTGCATATAATTTTGTGTTGTAATGTAAGGGCTTTCTATGTCTATTAAATCATCTATATGAAAGAGATGATTTTTACATTGTCAAACTCCCATCAGTTGTAAGATGTAGTGTGTTTTTTATGCAAGTGCATTTGAAACTCCTTTTGTTCTAAGGTTTGGTATCTCCTATAGATACACACCACTGTGACTTACCCCAGCTTTTGTAAAACACCATAGCCAGATCCAATCAGTGGGTTCAGCAAGGAGGGATATATGTGAATTTGCAGTGGATGAGGTCATTTTAAACTCTATGTGAAGGAAGGTTGGGACTCTAACAGCTGCTGCACTCAGTGACATTTCAGTAAACTAATCATAGATCGAAAGCAGACAAATCATTGTTATGGCTGTATGATCCCTTCTGAAGAAAAAGGAAATTAGTTAGGAACTGAAAGGTAAGAGGAGGAAGGGGAAAAAAAAGAGTTCAGCTCATAGGCTCTAAATTCTGCAGGCTAAAAGGAATGATGATTGGTCCATACCCATAAATTCAATCCCAAGATGCTCTGCCAATGCAGAAAGTTGACAAAAAAAAAAAAAAAAAAAAAAAAAGAAAGAAAGGGAAAAAAGTTTCAGAAAAGAGCAAATACACTGCACTCCAAAACACATCAAACATGACTATTATGGCTCTCTGTGCGTGCACGTTGATTCAGACAAATGGGTGGGGGGTTAAAGAAGCAGTGCTCAGGTCTGCATAGGGAACTTCTCTTTGTAAGAGGTGTGCAAACACCAGCACACTGTGTCTTTATTAACCCTTAAACGACCTTACTGAGGGCTAAGTTTGGTAGCTGAACTATCCTCAACACAACTTCCTTGTT